TTTTGTAGTAGGAAACCAGAGACCATGTTTGTTAGAACTAATACTTAGCAGCGAAGAATGTGAGTTCTGGAGCTCGTCAGGGCTTGGGCTGTACCCTGGGTTAGTGACTTATTTCCTATAAAAGGAAAGTTCCCGAACCACTTTAAACCTGTTTCTTCATCTTTAAAATGGAGGTAGTACCAGTGCTAGAGTAGTCGTGCGGATTAATGAGCTACTAACGAAGACCACTTACTTGGCACATAATAGCAGCTTGGTAAATGTCAGTTGGCTATTATATGATTATAGTGAAAGCGTGCCGTTGAAGTGAAAGCTGAGCCTGACAGATTGTGGAGGGCTTTGATCGCCGTGCACAAACTTGGACACATCTGTGTTGACTGCTCAGAAATCCTTTTGTCTTTGTGATTTTTTTTTTAAGATTTTATTATTTGACAGAGACACAGTGAGAGAGGGAACACAAGCAGGGGGAGCTGGAGAGGGAGAAGCAGGCTTCCCGCAGAGCAGGGAGCCCCATGTGGGGCTCGATCCCAGGACCCTGGGATCATGACCTGAGCCACCCAGGCGCCCCAAGTCTTCGTGATTTTCGACAGCGTTCAAAGTAGATGAGGTTGCTGTACTACCTGCGTTGTGGATGAATAAAGTCTTGTTATAATTCTTTAGTGGCATTTGAGGCAGGGGCTCACATGCATTTGATGATTTTTCTTGGATGCTGGCTTTTCAGCAGCAGTGTAATCTTACTGTGTTATTCTGATCTCTACTTTAGCAGTCTGAGCGCTGAGGGCAGTCTGAGGGGTAGCAGCAGTTTTAGGAGGAAGTTGAGCCCCGCGAGGAATCTCGGTGGTGTTTCTGTCATCCCTCTCCAATGTTGAAATTCCCACACGCTTCATAAAATACGTGGCTTCTCAGTGACTTAGCTAGCTGCTCTGTGTGTTTTTCCTTTCTCTCTCAGATCCGTTATTGGTCAGCAACTTGTTGCCACCATCCAAATGTATTTAACATTATTCTAGGGAAGAAGAGGAGTCAGTATGTTTAAAATGAAAAATGTGTACTAAGCTTTTGGGGCATTTGACAAAGACGGTGAGTGGGAAAAGGTTTCCAGCCTTTTCCCTTTTTCTTTTTTTTTTTATTTAAAGATTTTTATTTTTATTTATTTGAGACGGAGAGAATGAGAGACAGAGAGCATGAGAGGGAGGAGGGTCAGAGGGAGAAGCAGACTCCCTGCTGAGCAGGGAGCCCGATGCGGGACTCGATCCCGGGACTCCAGGATCATGACCTGAGCCGAAGGCAGTCGCTTAACCAACTGAGCCACCCAGGCGCCCCTTTTCCCTTTTTCTTTCAGGAAATGTTCCAGTAGATTGATATTCATCCCTCTGAGAATTCAGTTGCTTGTTGTGATAGTGTTCTGGAATGGAGAGAGTGGGTCTGGAGGGGGAGGCTTTCCTTTCGTTTCTAGTGAGGGAAAGCCATCAAGGACCCTGCCTCCTTTCCGGACACACATGCTCAGGCTCACATCACTGTCATGATTTTGACCTTGCACAGGTCTCTTGCACGTTATCTCGCAAGGCAGGTAGTATGGCTCTTAATTCCATTCTTTTAGATGGGGACACTGAGGCCAGGACACTTGCCCAAGATCCCTCTGATATCTTTGTAGGTAGAACCCTACAAAGGGTTCCTGATTTAGTCCTGTGCTTTTTCCTGAAAGACCTGTTTCAGAGATAGTAAATGCTATGTGCTTAATTCACTGCCCTGTTTAAAATCCTGCATGGGCTCCCCACTACCCATGGACTAAAGCCCAAACTCCTTAAAATGGCCTGAATCCCACCACTCACCCTGCCATCTTTCTCACCTCTTAACAGAATTACTTGCTTCTGTGTCTTTGCACCTCCTCTCTCTGCTTGACCGTTCCTTGAATTCCTGCACATTCCTTAGGAGCCACTTGCCTAGAAGCATTGAGGGCAGTTGGAAAAGCACGAGAAGCACTTGTTTGAACAGTCTCTCCTCTCCCCACTCCTCCCTCTTTTGGGGAGTGAGGCCCCCTCTTGTGCTCCTGGAGCCCCACATCAATATCTTTATTCATTGCATCCGTCATGTTGTATTATGGTTGTCCAGGAGTGTTGTGTTGTCTCTTCTCCCCCTGGACTGCAGACTCCTGTTTACCTAACATTTGGTAGGATTCATTTAAATTACCTTTGTGTCTTATGAATCTCTTCTTTCTTCCTATGAATAAACCTCAGTTACCTTTAGAAGCCTAGCATCCTCTGCTTACAATTTATGTGTGTGTGTGTGTATAAATGTATATGTGTATACAAATACATATATGACTTAGTTTAGAAGTGACAAGGCTAATCAACTGAATGATGGCAAACTCATACGAGGCTTTGTGGTTTGGAGGCTTCATACATCCTCACTCCGTCTAAAACCCACACACTGAGGCAGTAGATGCTAGTTCTGGCATTTGACTCTTCGCTGCCAGTCTTATGTGTGAGGTGGCAGCTATGACATGGGTCCTAATCCTATAGCCCTGGATATATTGTACATTGACATGTTGCAATATGTGATTCTAGTCATTTATGGTTTCTATATTGTTAATGCAATTGACCTAAGTCAGTAATTCCCTTGGTGACAGTCAGAAACCATTGTAACTAATGTAGGTGAACAAGAGGATTTATTTTAAGGATGCGGGTGTGATTCACGGAACTGTGGGCCAAAGGTGTGGCTGGGCCTCAGTAAAGCCTGGGAAACCATGAGAGTCCTGGCCATGGTTGTTTGTCTGGAAGAGGGGGCTTTTGTCTCCACATAACCTTTTCATGGTTCTTGTTCTCTGCAGAACAGCTTTTTCTGCTTTACCATACTTGTGATGACCAAATTTACAAAGTTGTAGTTTAAGTAGCCAACTTGGTTAACTTCTTTTAGACCTTCAGCCAAATTAATTTGGGACATAAAACGATTAGCTCTTCAAGGACCACTGTCCATTTCCCAGGCATTTGATGGTGAAGCGGTGGTTCACTCCAGGAACTTGGGGGAGCAGAGAACAGTTACCTGGGGAAAGGGAGTTTTGAGTAGGACAGAATCCTAAAAGGTGTCTCCTGATTGTTTTGTTTATAGAATGTAAAGAAAGAATTCCACTAACCATTTCAAGAATTGATGTAGATAGTTTTAAGTAGTATAAATTGTCATTAGAAGATGCTACTTCTGCAGACATAATAGTAGGGCTAGTCCTCTCCAAGCTGGCTGCAGTGTTTGAACTGAATTCCAAGCACTAGTCAAGATGATCACTAGTTTTCTAACAGCTGATTGAATTTAATGAATAGTTTTGCTGTCTCCTTGGAGAAAGATGGCAGACTTGTCAAAAATAATTGTGCTTTAATTTAGTTCCGTGCCAGTGGCAGACAGTGGAAGCTCAATGAGGATTTCTAAATTACCAAAACACTCATAGCATTTCTCTATGCAAGATGCACAACCTAGAGCAATGCATCAGAATCATCTGGGGAGCTTTTTGCAAAACCAAGGGCCCAGCTGGATCCCCAGCACTCTGATTCCTTACTCTTGTGGTGAGGCGTGAGTACCTGCAGAGGTGACAAGATCCCCAGATGATGTGACACTCTCCAAGTCTAAGAAGCACTGCCTCTTCGGAAGGACTGGATTTTTGGCATCTTTTGGGATGTAAACTGTAACCATCTCTAAAATACTCCATGGTCAAAATGGGTTCTCTGAGGGGCGCCTGCGTGGCTCAGTCAGTTAAGTGCCTGACTTTGACTCCTGTCATGATCTCAGGGTCCTGGGATTGAGCCCCTTGCATTGGGTTCCTCCGTACTAAGTGGGGAGTCTTCTTGTCCCTCTGCCCCTCCCCCTCCTTGTGCTCACTCTCTTTATCTGAAATAAAAATCTTTTTTAAAAAATGGGTTTTCTGAAACAGCTATGATTTTCTTCTTCAGCTTCAAGATTTCAGTATTCAGTATTTCAGTCTGAATTCACTTCAGGAAACTCCTACCACCTAGAGCCTCATGCCAAAGAACAAAACAAAACAAATTCTGATTTTATTTGTTAACAAAGCTGGTTGTGTCGTGTAGAATTTTCCACAGTGAAGATTTGACTGGCTGCATCCCCATGGTGTCATTTAACATGTTTCTCTGTCCCAGTGTTTCTTATAAATTGGTAGATTGATATAGAAACCCAGGCCAATTGAGGATAGTTATTTTGGCAAGACTGCTTAATAGATGGTATGATAGATTGCCTTAGGAGGCCCACCAGGCCTCTCTCTTTGTTATGTTAACACCCATTTATGACCTTTCCCAGGTTCCACTAATTCATTAAGGATTGCTAATTATCTTTGAATACCCAAAAAAACAGTGAACCCAACATGAAGGCATTTGAAGATCTTTTCATTGAGAAACAGTGATAAAGAACCTGGCCTTGATTCCTTATTAGAAGTGATTGTGTCCCATTGCACTGCCTTGGGGTTTTAGGTAATTTGGAATGTTTTCCCATCTGTCTTTATTGTGTCTTGGTATGCTACAGAGTAGATGGATCAGTATTGACTTGACACATTCCTATTTTCCTGTTCTTATCTTCAAGCCCTTGACATATGTCCATTTTCTTTCAAGAACACATAATCATCTTTTGTTTTTGATCCTTGGTTCTCACTGGAGTAAGAGGGGAGTCATGCTGTGGAATGTCTCCCATTCCCTTTCTGACTCTGTTGGAGCTGCCTTACTTTCTGTGTAACATTTGTTCTTTTAGGTAGGGGGTGCCCATTCCTGCCCCTCCACTGGGGGCAACTAATAGTTGTCAATCCTAGATAGTTTAGTACATTGAACTAATTTGCTGGAATTTTCTGTCTTCCTTTAGTTAAAAATACATTTTTAAAAAGTAGCTTGTCAAATAAACAAAAAATTCCTGACAGTATATAATGTTTTAGTGTGTATTCTGAAAGCATGACTTTATGTTATTCATTTTGAGCCTTTAAACAAAGAAAAATATTACCATTTGTTCTTCTCTTTTAGGAAATTCACACAAATGAGAAGGAAGTAACAGAGAAGGAAGTAACTCTTCACTTGTTGCCAGGTAACGGTCATGTTAGCTTCGGACCTCATGTGCAACTCAAAGCCAGTGATAAATTATGTCATTCCTAGTACTGCTATATATGAACTCCTTTGTTTTCACCCAGAGAGCATATAATGGGGATGAGTTTGACAAAAATATCAAGGTCTTTAGTTCAGTCACTACATACCTAGGTCTGAATATTACAGCATCTGCCAAGAATTTTTCTTGTTTTCCCCTCCACCCAAGCTGATGAAAATAAGCCTGGGAAATTCACCTCCTTCACAAGCAAATTAGGCCTTTTTCGTGTCGCTATACGTGGATACATCCAGTATTCTGGTCTCCACTCAGGAAAATCCTGGTCCCCCACAGAGCCTTACATTCCACACGCTCTTCCTGCTGCCGAGGTCTAGCTGCCCTGGACTAGCACAGCCGTCTCGGCCTCCCCAGGCAAGCATTGGTGGCTGGCCTCACCTGTGGTCTCGCGTATGCATCTGAGCAAAAGGACCAGACAGGTTGGGGTTTACTAACCCTGGGGCTGCCACGGCTTTGCTCTGAGGTCATCACTGAGAGTCTGAATTGGTTGGATAGTTTTGAGATGGAAGAGAGACTCTATATCTGAAGTTAAGCTTTAATCATTCCTGAATTCAGAGACAAACTACGTGGTGGTTGTATCCCCTTCCACGGGTGGGGCTGTCCTGGGGGCTGTGCATTCGGTTCTTCTTCCATTTTCTTTTTTCTAATCCCAATAGCTTTTTTTCGTAAGAGTTTTTGGGTGTATTTCCCCAAAGCAATGGAGGCCTCATTCTGGTACTAATGTTTATTGAGAGGATATGAATATGCACAAGTTTCTGACTGATCCACCTTATTTGGTAAATACTGGGATCCTAAAACTTAAAAATATTTCTAAGTTTCAGAGGTGTTTGTTTGTTTGTTTTGTTTGTTTTGTTTTTACTAATAATGGCCGAAACCGTAATCCACATACCACATTGTCCTTCCTTTCCTTGGGTCATAGATCCTGGAACTTTGATTTTTAGTTTAGTGTTACACACATTCTCTCATCCTCTGGATTGCCTGAGGTCTCTTCTTGATGTGCCGCCTCCATTTCCCAGACTAGACCTTGATTTTTTCCAGCTCCCGCCTCCCGTGGTTTGAGACCCTCTCTGCACACGCAAGCTGATAGCAATGCGCAGCACGCCGGGCTCGCAGAGCTGCACGGGATGTCGTATTAGCTGCTGCGTGCTGGTGTCTAGTCGCCAGCGCACGGCCACCACCTGAACCCGGCTTGCCTGGTCTTGGGGAAACACTGTTAGAAGTGTTTCACGCTAAGAGTTGAAAGCTCAGGAAGCCTTGTTCACGTAACTTCCACCTTGAACTAGTTGAGGCATTTTTTCGGAACTACTTTAAACCCTAACAAGGCCCCGATTCATTGTTTTCTTCGAGCTCGGTGGTCCCTCTAGAGGCTGACCTAGTGACTGAGCCATCTTCCTGTATTTCCTTAGTAATTAACCCCTTGGGAGATGGAAAAATATACCATAATATGCATCCCTTGATAGTCTCAGTGTCTGAAACTCTATTTTCATGTTGAAAGTTAGACCAAGTGAATTTTGAGCCAAAAAGTACATTCAGAGACACTGAAGAAAATATCCAGAGGGAGATTCTAAGGGGCGATGGTTGTCTGTTGAAAGAGAATATTCCTTTTCTTTTTTGTTACAAAATATTTGCACTTGGTTTTTTATATCTTCCATATCCTTCTCCTTTTTCTGCTCTCATCCAGACGTGTAGCCCTCATAAACTTCTCTGTTTCTAGGGAGCAGTGAATGCTTACCTATCCCCAAATCCTAATCTTCTTGACTGTAAAGTCCTTTCTATCTCCAGGAAATACAGCTGCTCGAGCAGGCTGGGCTCCTGCAGATGGAGCAGGAAAGGTGACACACTGAGAGGAAACACCCTCAACTAAGAAAGAGAGGAAACCATTTTTTTCCCACAAACCTCTGACCTCCCTTTTCCTCCCATCCTTGTCTGTGGAGCCAGAATGCATGTGGTCATGCTGCACCTCTGTGTCTGAGAAAGCTGCCTGCCAGCCCTGTGGCTGGGGAGGCACCCTGCTTTCTCTCAGCAGGTCCAGAGTGAGAGATGATGGCCCACTCTCCCCACAAAGCGGGCCTGAGCTCTGTGTTCTAGAGCCTTGCTAATTCCATATAGGGTATCACTTCTGGGGAGTGCCTGCTAGGGCCCAAGTAATAGGAACACTGAGGTCTGCGCTTGCAAGTGTAGCTGAGATCATTTCCACGTATTGGACACGTTCCTCATTCACAGCGAGAAGATGGGGAAGTGCCCCGTGTGAAGGTGTATCTGAGCCATTTTGGTTTCACTTACCAGCGATCCCCACTCTGCTTCATCTTCGTGCCTCAGGTTTGCAGCCCCTGCTGTGCTGAAAGTGTAGGTTCTGAAGGGCTGCAGTGTGTCATGCGTTTGTCTTTCCCATGACAAGAGCTGGGGAAGCTTTTACTGTCACATACTGTATGTTCCCTGAAGTCTCTCAGGAGGACTTGCTTTGGTTTTGATCAGGTGAACAGCTGCTTTGTGAAGCCAGCACAGTGCTGAAGTATGTCCAGGAAGATTCCTGTCAGCGTGGGATCTATGGGAAACTTGTCTGCACAGACTTTAAGATTGCTTTCTTGGGCGATGACGAATCGGCACTGGATAATGATGTATGTATGAGCTGCATTTGGCAGAGTTTGAGGGGAGCAGTGCAATTGTGGCCCTGTTGTCTTTTTTCCCAGCTCCTCAGTGACTCTACCCCCCTCCCCCTACCTGCCAACACATTAAACACAAAGGACAGAAGTCTTCACCACTAGATTGCTCTCTGTCCTCTGGGATCTCTTTTCAGTGGTGGGACCGTTCTAAAATTTCCCTCCAGTGCCTCAGGTTACGCTGGCTTGCATCTGACTTCATAGGTTGACACTGTCAACTTGTTCTTAATTTCTCCTGTATTTTAGCATCGTACGTATCACTCACTGGAATCACATTTCCCCAAATATACTAGTTCCCCATGTTTTCTGTATACTGAGCTGTCCCTCAAATTCAGGAACTGAGCTCGGTAATGAAACTGATACTGAATGCAGCACTTGAATTTGGGTTTACTGTGCCCCAGTCGCAGTGTCCTCATAAGACTCGTCCCTACTTACGGAGAATGGGCAAGTGGAGTGAGGGAGAGGACAGCCCACGCCATTGGGGGGCGCGCTGTATGTTGATGCAAACTCAGCGGTCCCGGCCCGCCCCTGCTGCCTTGGAGTGTGGTCTTCTGCACTGCTGTCTGCTCGAGTGGCTTGGCTCCTCGTCCCGTCCGAATACAGACAGCACTCACAGTGTTTTCTTCCTAAACCTGCCTTCATGTAGCTGACACTTACCAGTTTGCAATTGTGTAGAGAAATCCTAACCTCTCCAAGTGATTGTGGCATGGCCAGTTTGCCTGGGAGCAGCCCAGGAATGGCATGTCATGCTTGGGTTTGGAAAAAAAGTGCTTACCAGCTTTCCTAGCACACTTCATCATCCCTTTCCTAGAGAATGTGGCCGGCTCCATTTCCCTGTTTGTTTTTTAGAGTGTACACTCAATTTTCCCCACCGTTTTATTGAGATATAATTAACATATAACATCCTATTTACGGAGTATAACATAATGATTTGATACATGTCTATTGCATAATGATTATTAGAATAAGTTTAGTTAACATCTCTTACCTCATATAGTTACAAATTTGTTTTCCCTATGATGAGAAGATCTTTCTTAGCAACTTTCAGATATATAATACAGTTGTATTAACTATAATCACCAGGCTCTACGTTACATCCCATGATTTGTTTATCATAACTGGAGGTTTGCCCCTTTTGGCCACCTTCACCCATTTCTTCCACCCCCCCTCTGTTTTTCCTAATGTGCAATTGGAAAATGGTGATTTACTCTGCCTATAAATGTTTAATAGGGCACAGAAAGGAGTCACAGTTGTTTCCTTTTGAATCTTTTAGGAAACCCAATTTAAGAATGAGGTTATAGGAGAAAATGACATCACACTCCACTGTGTTGATCAGATTTATGGAGGTAAGTATCTTTTCCCCTGGGGTGTTGCCAGCCTTTGGAAGTATGGTTGATAATGATAATATTTCTATGGTCCTTTACAGTTTACTAAAATTTCTTTACATATTTGTTTAAATCAGTTTTATGGATGAGAAAATTGAGATGTAAGGTGGCTTATTCGGGGCCACTTAGCTGGAGGAGCTTGCACTTGAATTTGGAACCTGTTCTAATACTCTGCAGTGCCATTATATGCTAGATCATACTTGTGACTGTCCATGTGAGGTGTGTAGGCTTTACTCTAAAGACTAATCTGATAAAGGTTTGTTGCACTGTACTCTGAGTCTTTTCTGCTAAGGGTCAAGCCTCTCTGTGCTTCAGTTCTATATTTTGGCAATAAGGGCTTTTTCAGAAATCATTCAGTAGCCATTTATGATGATCCCAACACGGGTAGGTGCTGCGCGGTCCAAATTCCAGGGCAGGGAGGGAAGTGTCAGGAGGTGCCCCTGGCCATAAAGCCAGGACTCAACTGTCTTGACAGCATATCCCTAGTGACCCCCTTCCATCTTTTGTAATCTTAGCTTCTGGAGTCAGTCCATTTTGAGCTTGTCCAGAGGAATGAAGAACGCTGCCCATTGTCAGAGAGCCGGGGCCCCTGATGACAGTTACTTCGAAGACAGCACCTTTCCTCTCACTTTTGAGAGGTGTGAATAGTCTACCTGTTTCCTCATCATTAACTTTTTGCCTTATAACATGATTTCCCTTCTTGATTTCATCATCGATGTGTAGTGTTTGATGAGAAAAAGAAACCTCTCTTTGGACAACTGAAGAAATACCCTGAGAAACTCATCATCCACTGCAAAGACCTGCGAGTGTTCCACTTTGGTCTGAGGTACACAAAAGAAGAGGAAGTCAAAAGGGTAACTAGTTGCATGTATTTGTAGGTTTTCTTTCCCATCAGGTATCACCACTAACTCTTTTTGCTTATATTGCACGAAGGTGAAGTGGGTGCATTTCACTCCGTAAAGTTGAAATTGGCTTATAATCACATGCTTTGATTAGAATTGAGAGAGAATTTGGTGAAGCATGCCTGCGTATTATGTTGGCACATGCTACCTTTAATCCTAGAGTTCGTGATGGTTTTATTCCTGGAGCCTCTAAAGAGTAGGAGGTGATAAACCAGGGTCAGGAGGCAAGCTGCTTCTCCCACCTCTGACAGTCTTTCCAAAAAGTAGTAGCAGAGACCCCCAAGTCCTGGAACGAAGGAGTTCATATCTGCGAAGTTGTAGAAGTATGTGGGAGGAGGAAGAGGTACATGGGGCAGACAGGCAAAGCCGAGTTACCAAATGAGGCCTGTGATTTTGGACACTGAGGAAACTTAATCTGGTTGCTGCAGCAAATCGGAATATGTAACTAGAAGAACTGGTTACAGTTGTCACTGTAACTTCTATGATTCTGTTACTAAGGTATTGAAGGTCTCAAACTTGCCACTGTCCTGGTAAATCCGTCAGGGGAAAGGTGGAGAGGGGCCAGCTCACCTGCTGTTCTGGCTACAGTTGAGTTATACACAGTTACGGGTAACTCCCTGGTTTTCTTTCAGGGATTGTAGTAGTTCAGTTAGAATAATAAACATGACCTCTGAAACAAATAATGCAATATATGTTAAGAAAAAAAAAAAAAGGTAGCAGGAGGGGAAGAATGAAGGGGGGGAAATTGGAGGGGTAGGCGAACCATGAGAGACGACGGACTCTGAAAAACAAACTGAGGGTTCTAGAGGGGAGGGGCGTGGGAGGATGGGTTAGCCTGGTGATGGGTATTGAGGAGGGCACGTTCTGCATGGAGCACTGGGTGTTATACGCAAACAATGAATCATGGAACACTACATCAAAAACTAACGATGTAATGTATGGGGATTAACATAACAATAAAAAAATTAAAAAAAAAAGAAAGAATAATAAACATGACTCCGGTATCTATTCTGAGCAGGAAAAAAGCGGTGGATATAGGGAAAGTCCCTGAGAAGCCAGAAACTTCATTTTGAACGATGGTTTTAGCTATCTGTCCAAACATACTTTTGTTTGGAAACTTCAAACAAAAAGCACAATGGATTGATTTCTTTTTCTAACCTTCTAGAAGAAGGTCTTAAAGTCCATAAGTGGATCAGAATAGCTAAGTGTCTTGGTTATTGTCTGATATTAGCCCTATGTCTCTGATGTGTCAGATTTTTAGAGTATCTGAATATGGCACTTAAGTTTTTGTAACACCTTGTTTTTGATAAATGAGACTATGTTTTAAAAATTTCCCTAGAAATCGGGCGCCAGGATGGTTGGGCACCTGACTTTTGACTTTGGCTCAGGTCATGATCTCAGGGTTATGAAATCGAGCCCCACATTGGGCTCCACACTGAGTCTGCTTAAGACTCTCTCTCCCTTCCCCTACTGCCCCCCCCCCCCGCCACGCATGTGCTCTCACTCTCTCAAATGAATGGATAAATTAAAAAATTTTTTTTTAATTTCCCTAGAAATTCAGGTGTACCAGGGTGCTCAGTCAGTTGGGCATCCAACTCTTGGTTTCAGGTCATGGTCTCAGGGTCATGGGATTGAGCCCTGCCTCGGGCTCTGTGCTTGGCTCAGTGTCTGTTTGGATTTTTTCCCCTCCCTCTCCGCTCCTTTCCCTGTTCTCTCTCTCTCTCAAATAAACGAACAAACAAATAAATAAATAATATCTTTAAAGTTTTCCCTAGAAATTCAAAGCTCTTAGAAACCTAACAAAATTGTTAACATTCTGTTTACTTGGCGTTATTCAGAAGGTAACATCATAGAGACCTCAGAGTTTGTGTAATGCCCATAGGAGCCTATTAGCATGACTGAAAACCTAGATAGCTCAGTGTTTATCTGCCAAAAGTATGACTATACCCATTGTTTGGTTCTTTTCTAGATTGTCAGTGGCATAATTCATCATACCCAGGCTCCTAAACTGCTTAAAAGATTATTTCTGTTTTCCTATGCAGCTGCTGCACAAAACAATACAGGTGAGTGTCTTCTGGGTTCTAATTTGCAGGTAGGCAGACCCTTTAAATTCCTACATGAAACTAGCAAGCAAAAACCCATCCATGAGTTTCTTTTTCCTCTTTCCTAGCAATTGATTGCCTCTTGCTTGGGTAAGTCATTCAAGTTCCTTAAAAAAAAAAAAAAGTTTCTATTTTTTTTTCCTGTGATCTTTATTGCTTTAACTTATCTTTTAGGTTTATTTGCTTTTTTGTGAGGGATTATTGGTTTGGTTGTTTCTTACGAAAGATAAAATCAACATTATAACGGGGAATGTGAGAGTAGAGAAACAAAATTCAGACAAGTTTAAAATAATCCTGTTTGTTCCTGGGTTTTTTTTTTCCCACCTTAATATATTTGATTTCATTTCATAATACTTTAGAGAATGTCTTGCATTCTAGAAAGCCTTTAAACAACCAGAACATGCTCTGGGGAAATGGAACAGTTGTACATAAGAGAGCACATCAGAAAGCAAATATGCTTACATAACTTAAATTCTAAATGTTTTCCATTCAGTTCACTGAAAAAGGGAGCAGTCTTTTAACTCAGAAACATTGGTCATTTGAATTAGCTATTAATAATGCCTAGCATTGTACAATGTTTCCACAGATGTCTGTCTGTCTTCTCTCCATCTCTCTCCTTGGTCTGTTTCCTCACTCTACCCGTCAATCTTTTTTTTTTTTTCTTTTTATTGTTATGTTAATCACCATACATTACATCATTAGTTTTTGATGTAGTGTTCCATGATTGTTTGTGCATAACACCCAGTGCTCCATGCAGAACGTGCCCTCTTTAATACCCATCACCAGGCTAACCCATCCCCCCCCCCCCTCCTCTCTAGAACCCTCAGTTTGTTTATCAGAGTCCATCGTCTCTCATGGTTCGTCTCCCCCTCCGATTTCCCCCCCTTCATTCTTCCCCTCCTGCTATCTTCTTTTTTTTTTTCCTTAACATATATTGCATTATTTGTTTCAGAGGTACAGATCTGAGATTCAACAGTCTTGCACAATTCACAGCGCTTACCAGAGCACATACCCTCCCCAGTGTCTATCACCCAGTCACCCCATCCCTCCCCCCCCACCCCTCACTCCAGCAACCCTCAGTTTGTTTCCTGAGATTAAGAATTCCTCGTATCAGTGAGGTCATATGATACATGTCTTCCTCTGTTTGACTTATTTCACTCAGCATAATACCCTCCAGTTCCATCCACGTTGTTGCAAATGGCAAGATCTCATTCCTTTTGATTCTGCCGGTCAATCTTAACATCAGGCTGATGTTGAGTGACCCTGTGTGCTATGTGCTTTTCGTTAGGGACGTGGCATGTTAGCTTAACAGCATACATGGGGCCTTCTGGAGTGTACAGTTGAACTGCTCATTTGTTCAACATTTTTGAATGCTTGCTGTGCGTCAGGACTTGGGGATGGAAGTGAGTAGGACTAAATCCCTGTCCTTTACGAGCATCAAGTCTAAGCAGAGACAGCTGAGAGCTGTGTCCTCTGGTGGAGGGGCCGGTCACACTGCAGGCGGTGCAGGGAGGCTGTCACAGGGCACAGGCTGTGCTGGAGCCGATAGTGGAGGATGTGGGGGTGTCTGGTGGGCACAGAGGAGTATTTTAGGCAGCGGGATCTGCATGTGCAGAGATGTAGATATCTGAGAGAGCAGGTTGCATTTTGGGGACTATGGTGACTTAGTAGAAAAGCTGTGAGTTTTGGAGCCTGTCCCACTTGAGTTCACGTCCTTGCCCAGCTGCTCAGTAGCTGTGTGATCCTGGGGATGACACTAAATTTTGGGGGCATGTGTTTTCTTATTATAAAAACAGCAGTGTTAAAGCCTCGGTTGAAGTGTTGTGAAGATTATAAATTGTTAAATCCATGGCACGTAGGGTACAGTCAATTAAGTGAGGGTTAATTGAAAGTGTAACTGCATATTATTCAGGGTGGATTATTTCAGAGAATTACACTAAGGATAATGCTTAGCTCTAGTGTTAGACTGAACATAAAATTAGTTCCTTAATTCAGTAAGTTCATCTTTGAATGACGGATCTTTTCACTGTAGCTACACGTGCAAGTGCTGAGTAACTGGCTTACAATAGCTTGGTGCAATATGACCTACACAAAATATGACTGATTTATGAATTACTATAATTTATGTAAACATCTACTGGGTTTACATTTGAAAAATCATACTCTATTTTTAGGAATTCTGCCTCTTCCTTATATCCTGACTCTTGGTCCAGACTCAGTATAGGATAGTTTCTTGGCTCCCCAAGACTATGTTGATCTGTGTTCCAACACTTACCTTGATTGACTCTGGCAGTTTCTTCACCGAGTGGTGTTTTTGTTTTGTTTTTTTTGTGCCACAAGGCCCAGGATATGTGGCATCTTTTATTCTATTTTCCATCTTTTTTTTTTTTTTAATTCTCCTTCCAACCCCCATTTTTTGAGAAGTAAATGTTATAACTGATGGATGCTAATTGAAGTTATCTTTTGTGTTTAGTAGGGGTTTGTAGAGGTGGGTGCTTTGCAGCCTGAACATCTTCAGTTAGTTTCTGGCTTAATAATTCACAAAATATGCTTTGGCTGAAAGGTCCTGAATACTGTGATGTGGCATTTTAGGGAAGGACTTATCTGTGTTGCTAAAAGAATTATCTACTCTTGAATAGGAGTCTTACTATTATTTGTGTCTATGGGGAAATTTTTTTGGTGTTTATTACTTTATGGAAATCCTTTACAGCTGCTTGGGTTTGGATTCCAATTCTGCCATTGCCTAGCTCTGTGACCTTAGGCAAGTTTCTTGACCTTTCTCTACCACATCTGTAAGATGGAGGAATTAATATTACCTACCCTGTAGGATTGTGAAGATTGAGTTAATAAAATGTAGTATGCTCAGAACAGTACCTGGCACATACTAAGTGCTATATAAGCTAACCGCTGTTTTTGTCATTATTATTATTATCGTTTGTACTACAATCTGGTTTTATTTTAATAAAATGGCATGCGGGAGTTTTATCAAACACTGTTTTCCCCAAAATGCTTGGGTTTTTTTTTTTGTTTTTTTTTTTTGAAATGCACAAGGGCTTGAACTGATGTGTGTAAATAGCTGAGACTGTTTTGGTGCATGACACCCAGTGGTCTGTGGCTTAGGAGAGGACCAAGGATACATCTGCTGGGCTGCAAGTGTAGTGCTCCTGGACATTTCCCCCTAATGCAGGGTGAGGGGCAGAAGTCTCCATGACCATGGTGCAGTTCCTGACTAGCAAGCCCTAACCCTCACCACAGCTGTCTGATCTGGTGATGGCCGTTAGTAACTATGTCATTTTTCCCCCATTGTATGTATCCTCCTTCAATTTGCAGATGCATTGCCAACAAGAGGATTTACATTCAGGGATCTGACATGCTCTTCAAATGAGTTTGCCATCTTATGCACATATTGGTAGGGCTAAAAATATTTTATTATTTTAGCATTTGTGCCAAGCCTGTCTTCTAGTGTTTCACAGGATCTTTCATGTTATATAAATTATCTTATGGTCAGATGACTGAAAATGGAGCTATAAATTACTTTTGCAAGGAGTGGAACAAGAACACCTCCTTTCCTCCAGTATAAAAAGACCCTTCGTCATGATTTTGAGTTAATGACAAAAAAAAAGGAACAAGGTTAGGATTAAGCAGTGAACTTGCTGTGCTTGGATAAAAATGGGCTTAGTGAACAAAATTGGGGCTTACGGATCCACTTTCACGTCATTAAAATACTGTACTTCACGACAAGACTTTCTTTTTAAATTTGTTTTGCTAGCCACCGATCCCAAGAACCATACTGTAATGTTTGACACACTTAAGGACTGGTGTTGGGAATTGGAGCGGACCAAAGGCAACGTCAAGTACAAAGCAGTGAGTGTCAATGAAGGCTATAAAGTCGGTGAAAGGTAAGCATTCAGTGCTCTGTTGTTTTTTTTTTTTAACAGCTTTATTGAGATTGAATTCACATGCCATACAATTCACACATTTGAAGTACACAGTATTTTGAAATCTATTCACAGGGTTGTGCAACCATCACCACAGTCAATTTTAGAATGTTTTCATCAGCCCCAGAAGAAACCTCATACCCCGCTTAGTATACTAGTTGCTCCCCATGTACCCTCAGCACCCCCAGCCTTAGGCAACCCCTTATCTACTTTCTGTCTCCATAGTTTGCTTATTCTCAAGATTTCATATAAATGGAATCCGATAATAAGTGGTCTTTATGCTTGGCTTCTTCACTTAGCATAATGTTGTCAAGGCTCATCCATGTTGTAGCATGTAGCAGCATTCCATTATTTTTTATTGCTGAATAATATTCCATGGTATGGATAGACCACATTTTATTTATCCATTCATCAGTTGACAGGCTATTATGAATAATGCTGCTATGAACATGTGTTTACAAGGCTTTAGGTTTCCAGTTCCATGTGTGTGTGTGTGTGTGTGTGTGTGTGTGTGTATTCCTAGGATAGAATTGCTGGGTCATATGATAACTCTGTGTTTAACTGTCTGAGGAACTGCCAGACTGTTTTCCACAGTGGCTGTACCATTTACACTCCCATCAGCAGCGTAGGAGGGGTCCACATTTTCCATGTCGATACAGTGCTTAAGAAACCCTTAAGATGTCCCTTAAAACATTCAAAAGTAAATTTGTGTCTTTTTTTCCCCCATTGTATGTAGAGTCTAAGTATAAAACTATTAGAGGCATTTTTGAATTTATATTGTATATTTGCTTTCCTTTTACTTAGCACTTCATTTATTCAATAAAAATCTTTGGCAGGGCACCTGGGTGGCACAGTTGGTTAGGCGTGTGACTCTTGGTTTTGGCTCAGGTCATGATCTTGGTGGTGTGCGATTGAGCCCCGTGTTAGTCTCTGCTCAGTGGGGAGCCTGCTTCTCTCTCTCCCCCTCTCTCCTTCCCCCTGTGTGCACACTCTTTCTCTCTCTCTCTCTCTCAAATAAATGGGTAAATCTTTAAAAAAAATCTTTGGCCACTGTGCACCAGGTAGTGTCCTGGCTACTAGAGATACAGCAGTAAACAAAGAGCCTAAAAATTCATGCCCTCCTGGAACTTTCACGCTAGTGGGAGGAAAACAGTGATAGAATAAATGAGTGATTAGAGAGTATTAAAAGGTAGTAAGTACTATGGAGAAAAATAGATCACGGGGGCTAGGGAGTGCTGAGGTGTTGGTGGGGGGAGGGTTGGTCAGGCACAGGGGACAGTAGAGGCAAAGACCTGAGGTGGAGTGTTGTCTGGCTTCTGTGAAGGAACAGCAAGGAGCCCAGGGGCTGGTGAGGAGCCATCAACGGACAGAGTAGTAGGGGGTGTCAGGGCAGAGGGAGGTGGTTGGGTGGTGAAGGGGAGGAGGCTTTCAGCATTTATCGTGCAGTGAGGAAAAGTTTGAGCAGAGGCATGATGTGATCTGACCTACATTTTTTTATTTTTATTTTATTTAAAAAAATATGTATTTATTTGACAGAGAGAGTGAGAGAGCACAAGCAGGGGGAACAGTAGAGGGAGAGGGAGAAGCAGGCTCCCTGCCGAGCAGGGAGCCTGATGTGGGGCTTGATCTTGATCCTAGGACCCTGCGGTCATGACCTGAGCCGAAGGCAGATGCTTAACCATCTGAGCCACTCAGGCACCCCTGACCTACATTTTTAAAGGGTGACTCTGCATAATACTTTTTTAAAGATTTATTTGAGAGCACGCACGTGCACAAGCAGGAGAAGCAGAGGGAAAGGGAGAATCTCAGGCAGACTCCCCACAGAGCACTGAGCCCGACGCAAGGCTTGATCTCACAACCCTGAGATCATGACCTGAGCCAAAACCAAGAGTTGGACGCTTAACTGCGCTACCCAGGCACCCCTGCATAATTCTTTTTTAGAAGCTTGAATCTTCTCATTTTGGAATATACTCTCCACTATCCTGCTAGCAATTTCATAAAATTTGTATTTCTTTTTAAAAGAGATTTTATTTATTTATTTGACAGAGCACAAGCAGGGGGAGCGGCAGGCAGAGGGAGAGGGAGAAGCAGACTCCCTGTTGAGCAAGAAGCCCGATGCGGGGCTTGATCCCGATGTGGGGCTCGATCCCAGGACCCTAGGATCATGACCTGAGCTGAAGGCAGGTGCTTAACCAACTGAGCCACCCAGGCGTCCCCAATCTCAAACATTTATAAACTTAGCTCTCCTGACACAGCACAACCCGGAATGACAGTGGGGAGGGGCCTGCAGAGCAAATGGCATGGCCCCATTCTTGCCCTTCTCCTCCTCCCCCTCTTTCCAGTCACAGAGCTTGAAAAGGGAAAGCTAGCTCTTGCTCAGAAAGAGGTTAGAAACCCCTGCACCGGGGCACCTGGGTGGCTCAGTTGGTTAAGCAGCTGCCTTCGGCTCAGGTCATGGTTCCAGGGTCCTGGGATCGAGCCCCACATCGGGCTCCCTGCTTGGCGGGAAGCCTGCTTCTCCTTCTCCAACTCCCCCTGCTTGTGTTCCCTCTCTACCTGTCTCTGTCAATTAAATAAATAAATAAAATCTTCAAAAAAAAAGAAACCCCTGCACCTAGGAGGTGATAGTTTGTAATATGATGTTGACACTGATAGAAGGCATCCCCATTCCGATTGTTTTTATTTTTTTTAAGATTTTATTTATTTATTTGACAGAGACACAGCGGAGAGAGGGAACACAAGAGGGGGGAGGAGGGGGAGGGAAAAGCAGGCTTTCCGCCGAGTAGGGAGCCCGATGCAGGGCTCGATCCCAGAACCCTGGGATCATGACCTGAGCCAAAGGCAGATGTTTAACATCTGAGCCACCCAGGCGCCCCCGAGAATTGTTTTTAAAAAATCCTGCCACAGGGGCACCTGAGTGGCTCAGTCATTAAGCGTCTGCCTTCGGCTCAGGTCATGATCCCAGGGTCCTGGGATCGAGCTCTGCATCGGGCTCCCTGCTCCATGGGAAGACTGCTTCTCCCTCTCCCACTCCCCCCACTTGTGTTCCTGCTCTCGCTATCTCTCTCTCTGTCAAATAAATAAAATCTTTAAAAAAAAAAAAATCCTGCCACATACTGATTAAATTCATTGGTATTTGTTTAGTTGTCAGCATCAAAAATACACCTGGTAGAAAAGTCAGGTGGGGAGGAAGGTTTTAAAGGTTTATTTATTTCAGAGAGAGCACAAGTGTGAGTGAGTGTGTGAGGGGGAGAGAATCTTCGAGCAGACACTCCACTGAGTGTGGAGCCTGAAGTGGGGCTCGATCCCAGGACCCATTGGATCATGACCCGAGCTGAAACAAGAGTCAAATGCCCAACCAACTGAGCTTTACCCAGGTGCCCCGTGGGAAGGAAGCTTTTATTTTTTTTTAATTTTTTATTTTTTTAAAGGTTTTATTTATTTATTTGACAGAGACACAGCGAGAGAGGGAACACAAGCAGGGGGAGTGGGAGAGGGAGAAGCAGGCCTCCTGCTGAGCAGGGAGCCCGATGCGGGACTCGATCCTGGGACTCCAGGATCATGATCTGAGCCGAAGGCAGACGCTTAACGACTGAGCCACCCAGGCGCCCCGGAAGGAAGCTTTTAATGAGTGGTTAGCAGGGAAAATGGAGCTTTGGCAAGATTTTAGTTCTGGGAGCACTCAGCGCAAACACATACCCCTTGGACAGCCCCAGCCGTACATACAGTCTCCCACCCTTTTCTGCCCCATGGAGAAGATACAGGGCAAGCTGTGCTTTGTTTCTCACCTGGACCACTGTGGTGCTGCCTACATGGTCTCCACCACCCACTCTGGTCCCCCAGCATCCATTCTCTGTATCTCCAAGGCCTTTCATGGTTTGACTCCTGCCTGACTCCCTCTCTACCCCCCTCTGACCATACTAACCCCCTACCATAGGCCTTGCCCGTGTGGTCTCCTGTCTGGGATGCTCCTTTTGCTTTTTAGCAACACAAGGGTAGTTGCTTCCATCTTGTCAGATCTTAGCTCAGGTGTTACTTTCGTAGGGAGCCTGCCCAAGACTAGGTCAGGTCTCAGTGAGAGCTTTCTTTGTGCTCATGCCTCTCCTCACAGCACTTCCTACGATTGTGAGTTTATCTGTGTCACCATTTGAAAATGTTTGTTTCTGCAACCTGTCAGCTCGGGAGAAACAAAGACACTTTTTTTTTTTTTTATCATTATATCCTCAGTACGAAGTATAGTGCCTGGTTTTTTTTGTTTGTTTGTTTTAAAGATTTTATTTATTTATTTGACAGAGAGAGAGCACAAGTAGGCAGAATGGCAGGCAGAGGGAGAGGGAGAGGGAGAAGCAGGCTCTCCACCGAGCAGGGAGCCAGACACCGGGCTCGATCGCAGGACCCCAGGATTATGACCTGAGCCGAAGGCAGCCACTTAACCGACTGAGCCACCCAGGCGCCCTTAGTGCCTGGTTTTAAGAGGCATCAATAAATAGGAAACAGAATGAGTAAAGTAGTGAAAGCCCTTCCTCCAGTGGTTAGCAGGCACTCCAGTCAGTTTGGATAATAGGAAACTGAGCATCTACTTCATCTTCTCCCCAGGTCAGAGCTGGCTATTCCAGTACCTGTCTTCCCTCTCCTGAAAAGCCTTTTTTCTCTCATCCTGCCTCCCTGTCAAGGTTTCAGAAGGTCCATTACCCTGTGGGTGTGTGTCACACAGGCCTGTGAACTGACGCTGCCCCAGGAAGACATTGCTGCCCCGCTGTTGTCCCTCTGAGGGTTTCCTCACCCTAACGAAGGCTGGGGCTGAGTGGATCGGACAGCTTTCAATAATAAAGTCGTCCTGTAGTTGGAAAGGCTGTTGACTTTGTGTTTGAAAGCTCGTCCTGATGAGTAGAATGACTGCTCTCCAAGGAGGGAGGGTTAGCTGTTTGTGGACATTGGGAGCCTCACAGCAGAGAGCCTGTGGAACCTCCTAGTAGTTTGCTGGGACAAGAGAGGACATCTCAGACTCCTCTCACTGGTGCAGAGCTGTCCATCTCTGTGCAGCCTCCTTTCTGGAGCCAATGCATGCTGCATATGCTAATATACTTGGTTCTGACATTTGTCCCCTTTGATGGAAGATTCTTTGTGAGAGAAAATTAACTGGCTAACCAACATGGTAAAAAATTCAACCTCGCTAGTACTAGAAGGGGAAGACATGCAAATTTTTAAAAAACCTTGTGGCCCCAGCTCTGCAGAATGAGCTGAGACTCAGGGCTAACCCACCCCGCAGATAGCTCTCGTGTGAAGGCGGAGAATCTGTGGTCTGTTGGTGCGTTGCTGGCGCAGCGCTACTTCCTCAGTGACCCGGGGATTAACATGCAGACTCTGATTCAGTGGGTCCGCGGTTGAGCTGGAGAAATGTGCTGTCCAGGTGATGCTGCTGCATGCTTGGAGTAGCGGGATCGTCTAGAACAACAGCTGTCATCCTCCTTGTACACTGGGGAGCTTTTGAGCTTTGGATTTTTTTCTTCAAGCTTCTGATACTTAATAGTTCTGTGGGGGGAGCCTGGACATAGGGAGGTTTTTAATCTTCCCGTGTGATTTTAATGGGCAGCCTGAGTTCATTGATGTGTGAAGAGATTTTGGGGGGGGGGTGTTTGTTTGTTTACGTCAGTGATAACACCTGAAGAAGGGATACCTTACCACCTGTGCATTAAAACAGTTTTGATGGTTTGAAGTATCTTGTCCTTGACCAGTGTTTTCCAAACCTGGTTCTATGTTAAAATATAATGAGAGTTTTTTTTCTTTTTAATTACCTTTAAGATTTTTTTTAATGGAAAATTTCAAGCAGTATAAAAGAAAAGGGAATATGATGGATTCCCTTTTACCCATCACCCCCCCTTCAACAATTATTAACTCATGCCTAATCCTATTTTCTCTGTGCTTCCCTTGGATTATTTTGAAATAAATCCCAGACCTCATCACATTTTATTCATGAGTTTTTTGGTATACATCTCTAACAATTAAGAACTCTTTTTATAGATGTAACCATAAAACCATTATCACACTTTTCAAATTTAACATTAAAACCCTCAGTCAGGGGCGCCTGGGTGGCTCAGTTGGTTAAGCGACTGCCTTCAGCTCAGGTCATGATCCTGGAGTCCCTGGATCGAGTCCCGCATCGGGCTCCCTGCTCAGCAAGGAGCCTGCTTCTCCCTCTAACCCTCCCCCCGTCATGTACTCTCTCTTTCTCTCATTCTCGCTCTCTCAAATAAATAAATCTTTAAAAAAATAAATAAATAAAATAAAAAAACCCTCAGTATCATTCAGTAACATAAGTCAGTGTTCAAAAATTTCCCTATTGTTTTTATAAATTTTAGAACAATTTTTCATCTTTTTATCCGTTTTATCATTAATGAAGACTCAGTGAGATTGATATCTTGCAATTGACTGATAGGTTTCTCAAGTCTCTTAATCTGTAGATCTTCCCACCATTTGTTTTCTTGCAATTTATTTGAAGAAACCAGGCTATTTTCTGATTGTTTCCTATAATCTGGATTTTGCTGGTGTTTAAAATGGTGCTCCATTCCCTATGGATTTATTAGATCTAGGGACTTGATCACATTCAAATTCCAACCTCTTCAACTTAGAAAGTCCATCTGTCCCATCACCTGATACTTACAGGACTGACTTCAAACATGCAGCATGCATACAGGTGCCATCCATTATTTTCCATTGTAGTTCTTACACCATAGACACCTTCTTACTTCCCGTGAGGCTTTATTTCAAGCTTTTTGAGTGAAAGGGTTTTCCAGCTCCACAGTGATGCAACTTAGCAGGTTTCTTATTAATAGGTGTCTCTGTGTATCTCCGATCTTTGCAACTCTGAAAACCTAACTTTCCCACTTCCTACCACTAAGCAGGTCATTTTTAGAACCTAAATTTTCTCATATAGAAACTGAAGCCATACTGGTTGGGTTCATGTCATAGCTCTACTAATGCTTACTAGCTGTATAATCTGTGAAGGGCCTTAGTGGTGCTGTCTCAGTTTCTCTATCTGTGAAATGGAATAATAGTAGTACATACCTCATAGAGTTGTCAGGATAAAGTGAATAATTTGTGTTAAGGAATTTAAGTCTGGCCTACAGGAAGCAGTTAAATGTTTGTTGTCAGAATGCTTGATAAAATATCTAGGCAGCAGTCATTGTAATTATTGGTTTTTATATTAGCTGACTGAAAACATGGGTGCTTAATTGCCACTATGTGATGAGAAAGAGCACTCCCAATTTTGGAATTCATATACTTGTAGGTATCATACATTCCAGTCCCCTCATTTCATGGATGAGGAAACAGACCCAGAGAAGTGGGGTAGCTTACTTAGGGTCACACAGAATCAGAGGAAGAGCTAGGATTTGAACCGAGAGTCCCAGCTGATTTGGCTGGAGATTGTTCATCTGTACTGGTTCTTCTTAAGAGGGAAATAAGGTTCGTGTCCTTACCACTGTGTTTCGCTTCCTCAGTTCATTAAAGTTGAGCCTTCATATTCAGTGAATTACTCCAGTATTAAAACTGATGACATCTCTTTCTTCTAGATTGCCAGCATACTTTGTTGTCCCCACCCCTCTTCCTGAAGAGGACGTGCGATGCTTTCAGGGTCGCGGCATACCAGTGAGTACATCTGGAAACCCTAATAGCCATGGGTTGCTCATCAGCCCATTCTGGCAGATGATTCTATTTAAAGCCCTTGGCTTTGGTCCTCTGTCCAAAAGGGATCCAGAAATATCTCAGGGGCTCACTAAAAGAGTCTCTCAGACATGAGGCTCCCTGGGACAGCTCTGAAGTTTTCACAGATGCAATAGAGTTTTTAGCAGAAACATCTTAGAGATTGAAGAGGATTACAGATCTGCCTAGTGTTGAAAGCCAGCCTGATTTTGCACCTGAAATCATTTTGAGGCTGAGTCCCCCACTCGAAGGGTAGTAGGGTTTAAGATTCTTTTTGGCCCCACTATTAATTTTTGAGTGCATGTGGCCGTTTTTTCTCCCAGAGACAATATGGAGAGTTTACTTAGTTTTCACAGAATAGACTGGGATGGGAGCCATATTAATGTGTTACTAATCAAAGAAAGCAAGGCTCTGGCAGTTACTCCAGTTTCTAATTGGTGGTTGGGAGTTGCCAAGCCTTCAGGGAATTTAGTAAGGAATGAGAATTACAAATAAATGCTGTACTGTGCACATGGCTTGTTCACGAAAAAGGTCACTCCTGGATGGGAGGCAAGATGTTTAATCAGGGTCACATGTAGGTCCCATGTAGGCAGAGCAGGTAATGAGCTTGGCCCTTGCAGTGAACCAGAGACCATCCACCTGAGTTAAGGGTGAGGCTGCTTTTCTCTGCCAGCCGGTTTGTGCCATGTGGGAATTTGGGCCTGGTCTTGCCAGATATCCTGATTTCTCAGGAGAAGCCAGAGATAGGGATTTTTATGTGAGTTGTGACTTTCCCCAATTTCTAAATGTATGCAACTGATTCAGATGTTTAAAAAACAGGTCTTTGGGCTAGAGTTGGCTCATGTCCCACTAGTTTGTAACCTTTGATTGAGAGCAGAGGTTCTCATACTTTCTGATCTCAACACTCTATAGTCTAAAAGGTTATTGAGGATTTCAAAGACTTTTTTTGTTTATGTGGATTATATTATTTGATATTTGCCATATGAAAAATTAAAACAAAAAATTTTAGTTTATTTTAGCAATAAACTTACTACATGTTAGTGTAAATAGCATATTTTTGTGAAAAATAACTATTGTTCAAAACAAACAAAAACATAGAAGAGCAGTGTTTTACATTTTTAAAAATAGAAGACCACTGGATTCTTAAATCTACCTCTTTCATTCAGTCTGTTGTAGTATGTTAGGGTTTGGTTGACGTATGGGAAGAAAATCCATCCTCACACAGATCCATATTTGGGAAAGGGAGGAATAGTTATTCACCTTTTCAGATAATTCAGAATATTATTCTTTGATGGTGCACCAAAAAAATGAGAAGTGGTGGTTTCATCAAGGTTAATTGCAATAAGGAATCTGAAAACCTAATCAATGAATTTTTCATTCTTTGCTAAATTAAAATCCATGGGGTCTGTCTTGTACTTGGAATAGATCTTAAAACATGCATGTTTTTTTTTTTTAAGATTTTTATTTATTTATTTGACAGACAGCGAGAGAGGGAACACAAGCAGGGGGAGTGGGAGAGGGAGAAGCAGGCTTCCCGCTGAGCAGGGAGCCCAATATGGGGCTTGATCCCAGAACCCTGAGATCATGACCTAAGCCAAAGGCAGACGCTTAACAACTGAGCCACCCCGGCGCCCAAAACATGCATGATTTTATGACCTTATATAGTGGTCTTTTGGAAAGTGTTGGTTCATGGGGTTATACAGATCGTCCAAATATTAGCATGTTTCCTTATATAAAAATCACACTCATTAACATCACGCTTGTCTCATCAGAAAAATCTGTGTGTTTTGGGAAGCTGTCTAGGTAGAGGCAGAGATTAGTTTTCCAACAGTTCTAATTTTTGCATGAAACTTCAATTTTTATCATTTACAACAATTTGTCAGTTGTTTTCCTTGAAGTGATAGGGTCACTTCATTCTTTTTTGTTTTGTTTTGAGGATGAACACCTGCTACATACCAAAGTCTGAACACCCAGTGTTTGACTCTCACTCATTCTTTCAATTCCATGAAGAGAGCAGCTAGTTCACCTCTCACCTCAGTCCCATAAGTGCTTTTCCTCAAGACCTATACACTGTATTTCAGTGCTTATTTCCCACTTCATCACGTTAATTATAAAGCTTGTTAATATTAAATATCAATCTGTAATGGCCAAGATTAATAAAACTAGTAATTTTTAGTACTGCATTAAGAACATTCTCAAGTAGAACATTTCTTTTTTCTGTGAGCATGTGGCTATGAAGAATACAGTGGTGACCAGTGCCATCTGGGAGTGGTGCCCTGAGTGGTCCGAAAGCACCCGCACTTTTACCCACCAGGGCTTTGGCACCGTCCGTGCAAATGTCAGCACAGTGAAGAGGACAAGTTAACTCTTAGTATTATTCTCAGGAACCCACCCCCCTCATCTGTAGACTACATTCTGAGAATCACTGTTTTCGAACAATGAAGATGAGGGTCTTCATTCTTTAACCTTTCAGAGAGGGATTGAGGAAAAGAGGGTGAGCTCTGTGGGAAGAAATAAAGATGAATGGTCTACACATGTGCAAATAGGCTGCCTTTCCATCCAGCGTTGAAATTTGGATACTGTGTTCTAGCCAGGCCTTGAGGCAGAGAAGTAGAAAATGTTCTGATGAGATGGGAGTGGGGAGCCAGCAACGTAACTTCTTGGTAGAAACAGGAAGGTGTTCTCACTTTTTTTAGATCTGTCCTGAAAGTTGTTAGTGGAGTTTGCATGAATGGACAACAGAAGAATATTATACAAGACGGAATTGACACATTTACCCAGGGAACACAGAGCTCTCCATACCCATAACATAAAATTTACCATTAGTGGCATTTATTGTATTTACAGTGTTGTGCAACCATTACCACTTTCCAGTTCCAGAACATTTCCGTATCTCCATGCTTTTTTTTTTACCCTGACTTTTCAGCTAGTGTGTTTATTCTTGCCTTATTTTCAGTGAAGACCTGCATCATTTGTAGGTTCAGTCATACCCTTGCGGCCATTCTAGCGACCTTGGCCTCCTCTACCCTCTGCTGTTCTCCAGTCCCTGAGTATTGATCTTTTTTGGCTGTGGGGTTAGTGAACATTGCTAAAGATTATTCAAACCGAACAGCAGAGTGTTACTGAACGGGATACGGAAAAGCCATATGTCACCTTGCCTCAGTTGGGCCTTTCTTCTGCTCAGCAGTCTGTTGTTTAACTCCTTTTAGATCCTGTATCATTCTTCCCTAGGGCTGGTATAAGCCATTTTTTCATTCTCTTTAAGTTTGTAATTCCATTCTTAATTTTTGTACTGAGAGACGATGTTTCCCCTACTTCTGTGGGATTGGGGACAACCCTCGACAAGACCTCCCTCGGCCTTCCCCTTCACCTCCTGTTGGTTTTTCTCCGTGCTCTTGTTTCCTTCTCCTGAATCTAAACAGCTGCCTGGCTTTTGATCTCATCTGCCCTTGCTTTGTCAGGAGCCTGCTTCCATCAGCCTTCCCCCTTCCCCATGGATCTTTCCTGGTGTTCCGCTCTACTTGAAGGCACACTCAAGCCTCCCCTGACCTGAAGAAGCCCCTCGTTAAGAGTTAAGCTACTGTCTTGTTCTCCCTCCCAGTACTGACAAACATCTTTAAAGACTCTGTACTAATTTTCCCTCCTTGACTCTGTCCTCATTTCTTCTTGCACTGTGACTTTTACCCCCTACTCTGCGATGGACCCTCCAGAAGTCAGCGGGCCTTGTGCATCCCCCTCCCCCATACCAGCACTGTCCCCTCCCGTACCAACACTGCCCCCCCCAAGTACCAGCACTCCCCCATACCAGCACTGCAGGTTTGACACTGATTATGGTCTTGACCTTTTTTGTGTCTAAATTCTTGACTTGCTTTGGACACACTGTGCTTTCTCGGTCCTCTAACCTCCTTAATAGTTCCTTCCTTCTTACACTGCTTTCTAGCGTCCAGTTGTAGATGTTCCCCTAAAGCTCTGTCTTAAGATAACCTTAAGCTGTATCAGATAGTGAATAATTTTCCCTCTCCCTTTTAAAAGTTAAACAGGATTAACAAGCAGTGATTCTTGTCTCTTGTCAAGACATATACTACGACACCAGACAGAAATTATACATATCACAATAAGAGAAGACCGGCTTTTTGTTAATTTCCAGTGAGAAGTTTGTCTTTGACCAAGAATTTTGCTTGTTTTCTGTTTATTTTTTCAAATAGAGAACAGTAAGGGAATTGCCTCAGATGAGATGAGACAGGTATGGTTGTGCCCTCAAAAGAAAATGAGTTATTAATGGCTGAATATCAACAAGAGCCAACCCTTTCTGCCCTAGGAGAAGAGAGAAAAAGAGATAAAGGACACATAATTTCTTAGAACCTGTCACCTAGGGGCACCTGGGTGGCTCAGTCGTTAAACATCTGCCTTCGGCTCAG